CGGCGTACCTTGGAGCGGGAGTATCTATTCTTGACAAAACCCGTTTGGTCAGGCTTTATAAGAACTGGCAGGATCTCCTCCAGTCATCTAGATAAAATTTTGGACAGAATCTTGCAATCTACACCGAGTAAACTTACAGGTCTGTAAGATGTACACAGATTTGCAGGTTTATCCTTCTTTAAGATCAGGGATATATGGGCAAGGTTTAAGGTGGGTGGAAGTGTGCTCCTCTCAAGAGATTCATACATGTTTAATGAAGGACCCACCATATGTTTAGCCATTTTTTTGTAAAACTCTGGCCCAAACCCATCAGGGCCTGCAGCTTTTTCCTGTGCCCCAATGGGACAGCACAAATTTAATCGACTTTCCTCTGATAGTATAAAGAGATTAAGATTATCATGAAACAATCTCCTTGCGTCTACAGTATTTTGACATTCAAGGGAATATAAGTCCTGATAGAACTCTTTCATTATTTTGCTGGTAAGTTTAGCCTCGAATTGTAAAACACCTTTCTTATCTTTTAGAGAGGGTATTGCTTCAAATGCTCTCTTCCTGAATATCAGCTCACCTGGATCAGCCTCAGGCTCCGCACACGTTGTCCTCTGGCAGTTTTTATGGTCATGATCGGGCAAGTGGCGTCCCGAGGCGTAACGACCGCTGTAACTCAGGTGTGGAGATGAGTTTCAGGAGGGCCACCTAATACTCTGCCTTAAGTCAAAACACACCTGAGCTGTGGATCAGAAACACAGCTGTCAATCAGTGTGACGGTGCTGCTGAGGATGACGTAATTGACTGATCAACAGCTTCAGTTTAAAACACGAACACTCGTCAGAGCCCTGCAGGAATTTCTATGGCTAATGTAGTCAAAGGAGCTTGCAAAGAAAAGCGCCTGGACTTCTTTAAGTTGCTTGAAGACGTTTCACATCTCATCCGAGAAGCTTCTTCAGTTCTAAGGTCAAATGGTGGAGAGTCCCAGATTTAAACCTAGTGAGGCGACTGTTCTTCTGATTTGGTGCTGTTTAAATAAAATTGAATTGAATTGTACTCAATGTCTTCATAGAGCAGACGTGCTGAAACCCCTCACCCCACACATACACACACATACACACAAACACACACACTCAAAGGGTGAGTGATAGCTGTTGTCAAGCTGTGATTGGAAAAGTGGGCTATGTCTGAAATGACACATTACAGCGCTCGACAGCGACGTGGTGTCCTGAATGTTTCTCATCTACTGAGTCACCTGGAAGGATATTACACCTGAACACACACACACACACACACAGTGGTTAATGGGTTTTCCATGGGACTGACATCCCATCACATTATACAGTCAGAGCAGGAGGACTCCCTCACACATCATCTGTCCCTCCTTCAGGCTGAGGGCAGACAGCCTCTCTCAGACCAGCAGCTGGACCAGAACCACAGAACAGAACCAGTGAGAACTGTTCTGAGACGGCCGCTGTGATTGGTTCTGCTGTTTCGAAGGATAACTGTAAGGCAGGCTATGATTTGCGAAGCGCTGTCATTTAAATGCAGCAGAGTCATTTTTGGAGCAGGTGGGCACAGTAAACGTGTTGCTGGTTATGACTGATTTGAATACAGTTAATCATGGAAAGTTTATTCAACAGTGATATTTACTATGCCACAGATACATGATGCATACATGGTATCATAGATCTTGTTAGGTGCTGGCTACCACTGGTTCCTGTGGATGCTACAATGTGAGGCGATGATGGGTGTCTGCAGCAGCACAGCGAGGACTGAGGCTGGCTGGGATCAGCACACAGTAGCTAACGGTCCACACTGTGCTTCGCGGTTTTCAGGCACTGCGACCAGGAAACCAGAACCGGAGCAGGAGAAACAGTCGGACCACACGGTGAAGATTGCTGGCTCCATCGCCGGCATCCTGCTGTTCATCATTATCTTCCTGGGAGTCATCCTGCTGATGAAGAAACGGTAAGGAAATCACAAACACGGAAACAAGGCAGCCTGCAACTTTAGGACGCTGGGCTTTAAGAGTCGGTCGTAGTTTCACACTCTCACTGCTCTGGTTTTTACTCTTTACTGAGTGTAAGACTGAATTAGAGGATTCACTCTGGTCCCTGCTTCTCAATGTGTTTGTTTAACAGGTGATCTGAAATCCATTTCACTGATTTTACTATGAGAATGGTGAGTTTAATGACCATTAATGACCTGCTGTGGACCTTAATGGCAAAGATACTCTCAGCTGATTTAGTTCAATATATCAATAATAACTTGATTGATAATGACACTAGCTACTGACGGGTGCGTTGTTACATTCTGAAACTTTATTTAGTACTAACGTTTCTGTGAGCAAGCCTTACGATTCAGAGGAGATGAAAACCAGACCTGAACCGACCGGCTGAGGAAGCTTATTGGTAAAACGAGCAGGTCCACAGGTGCCCCTGAGTCCAGCAGCATTGGTGATGTCAGTGACATTTAATGAACTGCAGCTCGATTAGAGAAAGTCTGATCTTAGCTAAAAGGCTTTGTGACCAGAGTAGATGTGTCAGTCTAATCTGAAGGTGAGGTTCTTCAGATTTACACAATAACACCTCAAAGATGAGATGTTGGCATCACATAAACTGCAGTTCAAGGAATTTACTGAGCAGTTGCTGGTCAGAGGGAACATCCAGGTATCGTCAGCAAAGAGGACGCTGTGGACTGTCAGCTTCCTTATTTACCTGTTAAATCACAGGAAGCTGTTCCCAGCGTGGCTCACAGTGATGACGGAGAAACCTTCAGATGTGTGGCTGATGAAGCTCTGACCCTGACATGCAGAGTGTGAACCAGTGCTGCTCTCACCATGTTTGTGACGGAGCTGTAGTTACCTGTTCAGCCTGCTGACGGCTTCACTGAGGAGCTCCATCATTACACCACCCGTCATATCGAATCACCTGCTGGGTGCTGTGCTGAGTCAGCATTTGCTCTGGGAACCTCTAAAGCAGAATTACACAATCTATTAAACAAATATTACACAATGTTACAAACTCTTCTCCTCACAGACAGACACACACAGACACACAGACAGCCAGACACACACACACACACACACACACACACACACACACACACACTTACTTTATAAAATAGTCCTGAGTAGAATTCTAAGGTACTGGAAGTTGAGCGCTATTTGATTTCACTTTCTACTCCACTTAGTATTTAACAAATTGCAAAACTGATAGTATGCGGAAGAAAAAAAAGGAATCTCTTGGTCAGTAGGAAGGAGAGAAAACTTATAGTCTGTAAGATGTACACAGATCTGCAGGTTTATCCTTCTTTAAGATCAGGGATATATGGGCAAGGTTTAAGGTGGGTGGAAGTGTGCCCCTCTCAAGAGATTCTACATACATTTTTAATAAAGGACCCACCATGTTGGCCATTTTTTAAAACTCTGGCCCAAACCCATCAGGGCCTGCAGCTTTTTCCTGTGCCCCAATGGGACAGCACAAATTTAATCGACTTTCCTCTGATAGTATAAAGAGATTAAGATTATCATGAAACAATCTCCTTGCGTCTACAGTATTTTGACATTCAAGGGAATATAAGTCCTGATAGAACTCTTTCATTATTTTGCTGGTAAGTTTAGCCTCGAATTGTAAAACACCTTTCTTATCTTTTAGAGAGGGTATTGCTTCAAATGCTCTCTTCCTGAATATCAGCTCACCTGGATCAGCCTCAGGCTCCGCACACGTTGTCCTCTGGCAGTTTTTATGGTCATGATCGGGCAAGTGGCGTCCCGAGGCGTAACGACCGCTGTAACTCAGGTGTGGAGATGAGTTTCAGGAGGGCCACCTAATACTCTGCCTTAAGTCAAAACACACCTGAGCTGTGGATCAGAAACACAGCTGTCAATCAGTGTGACGGTGCTGCTGAGGATGACGTAATTGACTGATCAACAGCTTCAGTTTAAAACACGAACACTCGTCAGAGCCCTGCAGGAATTTCTATGGCTAATGTAGTCAAAGGAGCTTGCAAAGAAAAGCGCCTGGACTTCTTTAAGTTGCTTGATTTCCTGTTATACTGTTATCAAAGGAGCCTGGACTTCTTTAAGTTGCTTGAAGACGTTTCACATCTCATCCGAGAAGCTTCTTCAGTTCTAAGGTCAAATGGTGGAGAGTCCCAGATTTAAACCTAGTGAGGCGACTGTTCTTCTGATTTGGTGCTGTTTAAATAAAATTGAATTGAATTGTACTCAATGTCTTCATAGAGCAGACGTGCTGAAACCCCTCACCCCACACATACACACACATACACACAAACACACACACTCAAAGGGTGAGTGATAGCTGTTGTCAAGCTGTGATTGGAAAAGTGGGCTATGTCTGAAATGACACATTACAGCGCTCGACAGCGACGTGGTGTCCTGAATGTTTCTCATCTACTGAGTCACCTGGAAGGATATTACACCTGAACACACACACACACACACACAGTGGTTAATGGGTTTTCCATGGGACTGACATCCCATCACATTATACAGTCAGAGCAGGAGGACTCCCTCACACATCATCTGTCCCTCCTTCAGGCTGAGGGCAGACAGCCTCTCTCAGACCAGCAGCTGGACCAGAACCACAGAACAGAACCAGTGAGAACTGTTCTGAGACGGCCGCTGTGATTGGTTCTGCTGTTTCGAAGGATAACTGTAAGGCAGGCTATGATTTGCGAAGCGCTGTCATTTAAATGCAGCAGAGTCATTTTTGGAGCAGGTGGGCACAGTAAACGTGTTGCTGGTTATGACTGATTTGAATACAGTTAATCATGGAAAGTTTATTCAACAGTGATATTTACTATGCCACAGATACATGATGCATACATGGTATCATAGATCTTGTTAGGTGCTGGCTACCACTGGTTCCTGTGGATGCTACAATGTGAGGCGATGATGGGTGTCTGCAGCAGCACAGCGAGGACTGAGGCTGGCTGGGATCAGCACACAGTAGCTAACGGTCCACACTGTGCTTCGCGGTTTTCAGGCACTGCGACCAGGAAACCAGAACCGGAGCAGGAGAAACAGTCGGACCACACGGTGAAGATTGCTGGCTCCATCGCCGGCATCCTGCTGTTCATCATTATCTTCCTGGGAGTCATCCTGCTGATGAAGAAACGGTAAGGAAATCACAAACACGGAAACAAGGCAGCCTGCAACTTTAGGACGCTGGGCTTTAAGAGTCGGTCGTAGTTTCACACTCTCACTGCTCTGGTTTTTACTCTTTACTGAGTGTAAGACTGAATTAGAGGATTCACTCTGGTCCCTGCTTCTCAATGTGTTTGTTTAACAGGTGATCTGAAATCCATTTCACTGATTTTACTATGAGAATGGTGAGTTTAATGACCATTAATGACCTGCTGTGGACCTTAATGGCAAAGATACTCTCAGCTGATTTAGTTCAATATATCAATAATAACTTGATTGATAATGACACTAGCTACTGACGGGTGCGTTGTTACATTCTGAAACTTTATTTAGTACTAACGTTTCTGTGAGCAAGCCTTACGATTCAGAGGAGATGAAAACCAGACCTGAACCGACCGGCTGAGGAAGCTTATTGGTAAAACGAGCAGGTCCACAGGTGCCCCTGAGTCCAGCAGCATTGGTGATGTCAGTGACATTTAATGAACTGCAGCTCGATTAGAGAAAGTCTGATCTTAGCTAAAAGGCTTTGTGACCAGAGTAGATGTGTCAGTCTAATCTGAAGGTGAGGTTCTTCAGATTTACACAATAACACCTCAAAGATGAGATGTTGGCATCACATAAACTGCAGTTCAAGGAATTTACTGAGCAGTTGCTGGTCAGAGGGAACATCCAGGTATCGTCAGCAAAGAGGACGCTGTGGACTGTCAGCTTCCTTATTTACCTGTTAAATCACAGGAAGCTGTTCCCAGCGTGGCTCACAGTGATGACGGAGAAACCTTCAGATGTGTGGCTGATGAAGCTCTGACCCTGACATGCAGAGTGTGAACCAGTGCTGCTCTCACCATGTTTGTGACGGAGCTGTAGTTACCTGTTCAGCCTGCTGACGGCTTCACTGAGGAGCTCCATCATTACACCACCCGTCATATCGAATCACCTGCTGGGTGCTGTGCTGAGTCAGCATTTGCTCTGGGAACCTCTAAAGCAGAATTACACAATCTATTAAACAAATATTACACAATGTTACAAACTCTTCTCCTCACAGACAACAACACGACAGACCACACACACAGCACAGACACACCCCAACAACACGACACACACACAGACACACACACACACACAGACACACACACACTCACACAGACACACACACACACACAGACACACACACAGACACACACACACACGACACACACACACACACACACAGAACACACACACACACACACACACACACACACACAGACACAGACACACACCACAGACACACACACCACAACACAACACACACACGACACACACACACACACACACACACACAGACAGCACACAAGACACACACAACAAGGAAAATAAGTGCAGTCCCTGCGGTGTCACCAAAGAAAAGCTTAAATATAATTACAAAAGATTAATTTAAAAACAATCATTCAGTAATAAATGAAAGCTTGTTGCACAGATAACACTAATGCACAGGATGTCATGCATTGCAGTGTACTCGTCGGGTTGAATCGGAGGCGAATTTGTGTCAGCGATGTTTACAGAAGGTTTGGAAGGACACAGTCGACTGGTTCTTTTATTTACACTCATATAAAAAGGCACGCAGGTGGAAGAACGACTGACCCACACAGACACATCGCACTGCCCACTCTACCTCTATTATGACACACTCCATATAAACACACGACGCCACACGACGAGGAACAGCACAGTGAGAAGAGTTATTTTCGTTACACACTATTCCCCCTCCACACAACCGTTGCCAAGACACAACAAACAACTGTTTTATCCTATTGTAAATTACAGCCTTTCATCACCAAAAGATCCACACTAACAACCACAAGGGTCTCTTGGCATACCCAGCCAAGCCCTGGAACACCAACAACACAACCACACGTGACTGAACACTGGGAGAAAAAAAATGAGTCAAATATAATGAATAATTAAATGTTACAAATTTTATCTTCTATTCACATCTCTCACACCACCGACTTGAACTTGACATTCGGATTAGAGAGCAGACAAAACTGAGTAAAACAATCTACACTAATAATCTTAGCGACTCATTGCTCATTTTTTCACAACGTATCAGTTTACAACAGTCCGTACTTGTACTCACACATTCGACAGTGAATGCACACATACACCAAGACACACATGCACACATCACTGTCGGAACGTTGCATGTACTGGTAATGGACCAGTGGAGACACACAGTACACAGCACACTACACAGACAACAGACACACGTTACACACAGAAACCACACACCACTAGACACACGCACAACCACACTGACACTAGAGAACACTTTGATCATACGCACAGGTAGCATCATCTTCCACGGAAGACAACATAAAACATTGACACAAGAGCACACACCACTGAGTGAACAAATTCAACAATGAGACGAGCACAACCATGGTTACAGCGCAACCAGATACACGTTATCAGCAGACCTACGACATTCAGCGAAACGAAAACAACAATAACACAACACTGGAAAACTAGTCATATCACAGTACAATAGGTGGCACACACACACACAGTTAATACTTACACACTATACAACAAGAGTCGACACACAGTGATCACAACAACACACAATAACACAACACAGAAACAAAACCACACAGGCCTCCCGCACAGTACACATCGAGACACACGAGCATATCATCTTCAACTTCCTTGTTAACAGTAACACACCAACACATCACAGACAGCACACAGACACACACACACACACAGACAAAAACATAAACACACATACACACACACACACACGACACACACACAGTACACGACACACACACACACACACACACAGACACACACACACACACACAGACACACAGACACACACACACACACACACACACACACAGAGACACACACAGACACACACAGACACACACACAGACACACACACAGCCACAGACACACACACACAACAACACACACAACACACAGACACACACACAGACAGCACACACACACACAAACACACACGACAGCACATACAGACAAACACACACCACAGACACAAACAACACACACACAGCAAAGACACCTACACACACGCACCACACAGCACCACAGACACAACACGACACACACACACACATCACACACACAACTACACAGCCACACACAACACAACACACACACACACACAGACACACACACATGACACAACACACACACAGACACACTACACACACACACACACACACACACAGACACCACACACAACACAACCCACACACACACACAAACACACACAGACACACACAGACACACACACACACACAGAC